GCAACATCTGGACCTCATCTTTATGTATGTGGCTGTTTTATGCAGAAGACTTGGATGCATTTCCAGGAGTTTGCTGTTTCTGTTGTGGTTTTTTCATTTTTTTTGCCCCCCGTATAAAACAACTTCATTTGCATCCTGTGCATTGAGTTTTCGGATGTAAGACATCACACGGCTCAGAGGATTGTTCGATTTTTCTTCTTACTTCTCGAGCATCACCCCACTCAAAAGGAAGGACAAGGACAGAGGCGGGGTGCGAGGATACATAAAGTACCCCCAAAGACACAGACAGTTCAGACAGACAGAAGCTCTTCTACTTTACAACACTATCTCTGGAGATGACAACTGCATGAATATCATTGTTTCCTGGGGAGGTTGGCAAGAGAACATCTGAGACTTCATAGCCTACAAGTTGTGTGGCAGCGAGACATTTCTTTTCCTAAAGCGTGCTTCTCCTTGACATTGGGCAAAGCATACAACCAGCAGCAAGTTCCACAAACACAACTGCCTGAATGCAGAGTAACTTTGGACAGAAGGAGAAGTGGTGTATGTGTATATATAGGTATATATACCCTGGAGTGCACAGGATTCCAGCCCTCCCTATGACACACTGAATTGAATAAGACCATTGCTGTAGCGTGGAAGTAAAGGTTGGCATCTGGACAGCAGTGCCTGAGGTTCCCCCCTGGGAATGTGTCCCTTGATTCCCTGCCCTGCTCTGTGTGCAGGGAGCACAGTGTGAATGTACACCGCCCTGTTAGTCCTGCTCTCAGTAGCAGTCACAACAGCCTTACGGCCTCCAGCACCTCCCTGAGCCCAGGCTATCTCTCCCTCTGCAGCAGCAGTATCCCTGACACATTCACACACCTTTTCCTACTAACTCTAAGAAAAAGAACCCCAATAGCAGAAGCCCTGTAACTGCACAATTGCAGCCTGCTGCACACTTGCGCACCTCCGTCGGTTCCTTTCGCCCCCCTCTTTTTTTTTTTTTTGGCCGGGAGTGATGTTGCACGTGGAGATGTTGACGCTTCTCTCTCTGCTACTCTGGATGTGTGTTTGCAGCCAGGATCCTGGCTCCAAGGTGGTTGCTGATCGCTATGCGGTGTACTGGAACAGCACCAACCCCAGGTAAGGAGGAGGGGGAGGTTTCGAACTGACATACTGCTTTGTACTAAACGCACGCCGTCCAAATCTGGCTGCAGCAGCAATGTAAGCTGGAATGATCTAAGTGCCGTAGCCAGGAAATAGAAATCCCCTTTGGCTGGTCAGGGAGCAAGAGCATCTCACTCAAGGAATAACATATAAGCTTTGTCTGCAAAGTATTCTACTACTGTTCTCTTTTTCGATTTTTACTGTGGCTGTAGTCCGAATGGCCCAAGGCTAACATTTCTGACAGCACAAAATTAACTCCAAACATATACTACAACTGTTTTCTGTGATTGTCCGGTGTAGATCCCAAGACTAGCATTACTGGCAACACAAATCTATATCAAGGCATGCAGGAATATTGGGCTTTCTGCAGCCTAAAGAGGCAGTGTGCTCTTCTACAATCAGAAAGAGACCTAAGCATCATCAATGACTCACTAAGCGTCACACTCGATGTGTTCTTGGTTTACTGAGAATCCCGTTATGTCTAAATACTATAAACCTACTTTGTTCCTGCTATCATTAGTTCGCCAATATCTCCTTCAATTCATTATGTACAATCAGCTTGAGTAGAATCGGACACCAGGAGGCGGTTTTACTCAGCCGCAGTCAACATGTGTTAATAAAACTTATTTCTGCTTAGTGGTTCTGTCTTAATCATTGCCTAAAGTGGCCGTGCAGTTTCATTTTTACTAGTGATATGACAGACTCTAGCAATAATTGGTCGTTAGGCCAAACTTTAGCGTCTGGAAGAGACAAAAATCTGTCACGTCACTTGAATGAAATTTCCAGCCTGCTGGAAGATTTCTGTCTTGAAGTTATTAGTTGACTGATCCTTTAACTGGCTGCGTGGAACAATTGAAAACAAAAAGGTCACAGCGAGGATTAGAACCTGCAGACACTATGGTGGTCTTTTAAAGATCTGCCTGAGTGTCACTTTCCTATGTTACTGATAAATCTCTGCAGTCAGCATGATGGTAGAATAAAACGTGGTAATTACTAGCTTACAAGAGGTAATAATGTGACATCATCAACGGTTCATGACAATTTATAAGAGAAAGAATATAAGTTAAAGTAGCTACCATACCCCCCCCCCCTCCCATATCGCTTGTCTTCTTTTATTCCTAAAGAGTTCCTTGTTGATGGTTAAGCAATATCACCAGCCTTAATTGAACAAACAAACCGTATTGATCTGTCAAACTCCACTAATGTTTCAATTCCTTTTGGAACCTACTCCTCCATGTAAGGCAGTACATTTTCTTTGAAACATAATGAAGCTTTGAACCAAAATATCTCATCTGCTTGGTTACTAATTAGCTCTACATAAACATGTGTTTTCTTTCTAGTTGTAGGGAGGACTCCTTAAAACTGTTCACAGTGCACTGCAGCTGCTTTAGTTAGAGATGATTAGAACGTAGAAATATGAGAATGGGAATCAGCTCGAAACTCCTGGACAAATTACAACGGAAATAATGCCCACCAATGTGATTAAAGTGTGTGCATGTGTTTTGGTTAAGTGCAAGACACTAGAAGACAGACTTGAATAAAACTTTTATGGAGAGAGTCCAGCAATAACTTGTTGAATTATGGGGACTGGTGTTGGTGGAAAA